TCTTTGTGACCCAAAGGTTTGTGATTAAATGTGTTTGATGTCACATTTGCAGGCTTGGGTTTTGGCCTATATTGATGTTGCACAGAGGTAGTAGATCCTTTTTTCCTAATGGACTCCTCATATCTGGCATACCTCATGTTAACGTGAACAACAGGATGAGACAACCGCTGATGATGATCACTGGTCTCATTACTGAAATCAAGTCGCCTGCGAACATGTGATGGTCTGGCAAAAGTGCTGGCAATTATATTATTGACAGCAGCTCCATTACCATCTTCATCATCAAAAATGCTGTCACTATCATGATAAAAGCTGCTATCCACTATAGTGCTGCCTTCGACGCGTCCACCACCACTATAGTGATAATCATCATCATCATATCCAAGGCCCTCCAGATCAAGAGTTTTGACAAATTGGACAAGTTGAAATAACCGAGTCCTGTCCTCCATTGTGTGTATCCCCAGCAGGGGGTAGTCCTCCATGGTGAGCACTGAGATGTGGGCTGTACGACAAACACCCACTGAGGTAAACCTGAAGCACAGGAAAGGGGGAGGCAAATTGTTTTATAGCAGAATAGTGCCAATTTGAATGGCTTGTGGTTGCTCTTACCTGGCATAGTGATGCTGTAGCCCGACCGCTCTCAGACACTCATACAGACAAAGTGTCATTTCCTTCTCTTCCTCTTCTTTCCCTTTTTCCTTTACTTCGCTCCACCTGCCCTGGAAGTGGCAGAGACATCCCTCAGTATTTTCGTCTTACAGCCAATAGCCGGTCATTGTGTCATTACTACCACACTGCTCTGTTGTTGGTAAGCAAAGCAGAGGATACTGGTAGCAGGTCGAAATCTGACACTAGGCCAGCAAGGAGAAAGGGGAGTGTGCTGCAGTCGTCACACATTTCTGTACAGTAGCAAATACGATAAATATAGCAAACACATGTAAACAGCTGCTGGCTTCTACACAGGACTGACCAGTTGCTGCAACAGCTCTGCAGTAAGGCATGAGAGACAGCCTCTTCTCCTTCATACATAAGCCACAGTCACTTTGGTGAGTCCATACTGGGATTTCATGCCCTGCCTTAGTAACTGCAAAACTTCAAATTGTGCTATATAACTTACTGAATGGGGTTTCATGTATATTCATGTCTGCAGAGCATAAAGTAAATGCTGAGGAAATCCCAATTCCTATCACCTGAAATGTGACTGATCTGCCATTGGGCAGATCTGTCACTGTGTATCTGTGTGTCACTGTCATCTGTACTGTCACTGTGAAAACATCCAGTGCTTCTGGACTGATCACGTGTCATTGTTTTACAGCTGTTAAGGGTTTTCCCCCCGTTTTACTCTCTTTCTCTTTTGCCGTGACTTTCTTTTTCCCACAGGTTGAGGTGGGCATGTACCACTCCCTAGCAGAGCCGCCTGGTTTTCTGCTCTTCAGCCAGTGCACTAATTTCTAATCTAATCATTACTTATCAGCACTTAAGAACAAACTCGAGCTACTGTTCTCTGCCAGATTGTTATCTATGGTTGTGGTAATAAGGCTTTTTGATGTTTTCTGAGTACGTTGCCTGCGCTAAAGTCACCTGTTTCTCTAAGTAGATCCGTTTGTCAGCTGAAGAGCTCTCTCCCTGTGGATAGTAGTTACCTGATATTCTGAGCTGGTCTGTTCCTGCAAAAAGAAACTGTGGACTTACTCACCGAAATACTAAACTGCCTGCCTGTTTGCCTGGATTCAAGTAAGAATCCAGTTAAGTTCAAATATCAAACATCTCAGTCTTTATCAACAAAATGAATGAACGTGAAGCCTGCACGCAGTGTCTGTTTTGGGTCACAGCTGGTCATGACAGCATGGATGGGACCAGTGCTGGAAAGTAAGTAGAGCTACTCAAGTTCTAGACTGAAGCACTTATGCTATGTTGCTTTCTATTACCACTGTATTGGAGGCACTTATTGCTCTTTGTACTGCTTCAGCTTCAGCTAGTATTTATTTTGCAGTCATAGGTTATTATTATAATAAAAATTTAAACCTAAAAATAAATCGGTATACCATTATACATTACACTAAATAGAAATTACTTAAACAAATCAGAGACAGAAGATTTGTTCATATTCATCATCTGTCCTCTGAAACACTGCGAGCAAGTCAGGAACCTTGGAATCATTTTGGACAGTAATCTTACTTTTGGCAATCATATTAATAATGTCACTAAACAGCTTTCTACCTATTAAAATTTTGTGTAATTTAAACATTTTCTAATTTTTAATATATTTTATTTGAAACTGAATCTGAGAAAAATGTGTCATGCATTAATATAAACCAGGTTATTCTATGGTAATGTTCTATTTGAAGGATTATCCCAGTCGGATGACTTCAACTAATTCAGAATGCAGAAGCGAGAGTCCTTACGTATAACATACGTAAGGACTCTCTAAACTGTCCTTACGTATTACATATGTAAGGACAGTTTAACACAGAATTGCCTTTAAAATATTTTTATTAGTCAAGCTCTCAGTGGTTCGGGTCTATTATCCAGAACTGAATCTAAATCTGTTGAGGAAACTTTCAATTCTGTGGAACAACCTGCCTGCTGACCTGAAGTCAATTACAACTGTGTATAGATTCAGAAACAAACTTGGAAATTTTTAAATCCCATGGTTCTCTACATAACAAAACAGACATTGACATTACATATTAATTATGTAATTATGATTCTAGTTATAGCTGGTAGATATCATCTTTTAGAATTTTCCTGGACTCCCCTGTCTGGTTGTTACTGCCTGTGCCACCACGGTTTGAAAATCCTGGATTCGCCCCTGAATGGATCCCACTTACATGCTTGTGCTTGGTTTAGTTTAAGAAGTGATTATGCTAATTTTGACACAAATAAGTTTTCTTTTTCTAAAATGCGAAAATCACTACAAAGCTTACCAGATCAAGTCCAGACCACGCAAAGAGCAACAGATAGCCGCAAACGCAGAGCCAACTGAATAGATAATTTGATTTTTCACAAAGTTGCTAGCTTCAGCAGGACCACTATTTCCGTACACAGAGAGGGTCTCCATGACGACGGAAACGGTTGAGGAAGAAGAGCACTTTGTTTTCCCGCTGCTCGTCCTCACGGAAAAGAGGAAATGTTAATGTTAACATATTTCCGAAGGACAGCCGGTCGGTTCAGCATGACAGAGGGATGATAATCCTTAGGACGGCTTAATGCCCACCAACAAACCCACTAAGACAGAAAGCCTTCTTACAGGCATTACAGCATACTGAGAGATGGCAGTACTACGAGCTACAGTATATTTTCTGCGTTTATATAATATAGAGTTTTCAAACTGTTTTGTTTTTTTGTTTTTTTGTTGTTGTTTTCTTTTTTTGGGGGGGGGGGGGGGGGGGGGGGCTTGTTTTACTCAGTCTAGATAAATCTTGTATACATATATCCTCAAAGACAATGACACAAATATATCTGCCGCACAGTTCCGGGGGATGCAGTCCAGGGATCAGAGCGTCCAATTCAGCCCACTGGATAGCTGTTCGAGGACAATGACTGTATAAATTATTTATTATATGCTCATTGGTCAGATTACAATGAGGTCTATAAGTAATAAAAATGTGCGGCTAATGCAGGCCAGTGTTGCTACAGAGAAGTAAAAATGAATGGAAAGTAAACATTTTAAAGCATAAATGCATAAAATCCTGTTGCACTTACAGTGAGTCAGGATACAAGTTTTTATCCTGAAATATCCTTATTTCTTCATCCAATATGATCTGTCATGTGTCATCGATGCATTTAATGACAATGAATGTAAAGACTTACATGTATTAAAATTGGATTTATTTTGCATGGTTCTCTCAAGGTTATTATTCTTTGCTAGTTTATACATTATAGTTTTTCTAGCATAGTCCAGTTTAGATCAAAATGGGATATATGTGGCCCATTAACTTAAATGAGTTTGACACCCGTATAGGCAGACAAAATGTTTACACTCTGATACACTCCAATACGATTGTAAGCGTCTTCATGGTTGCTTTTAGAGATAATTGCAAGTAGAAAGATAGTGGTTTAAAGTTGCACTGTCTATAAATTAAATATACAGGTCAGTGCAAAACCCGTGATGCAATCCTCATTTCGTTATATTTAGCAAAGAATATGTAAAAAAAAAGAAAAAAGCTCTTTGGGAATCACCTTGCTGGTATCTTACCTTTGGCATTTATTTTTATTTATTTATTTTGTATATTAAACTAAAGAAATGGGAAAGTTTATATGCTTTCCAACAAGCTGCTAGTAACAAAGTGCCTAAACATACAGTTTAACATAGGTTCATTGTTACGTTGTCTGTGTAGAGAAAACACTTTCGTTAGATGCATTTATGAGTGATTTATAAGTCAGTGTTAAGTAGATTAACAAACAAAATGAAATTCCTCTGAAAACGGTCCAGTGCAAAGACTGGACTGGAAATGAGTAAAAAAGGAGCAAATTTCCTTAAAAAAAAGAAAAGAAAAAAGAATCTCCTGAAGACCGGCCGAACGACTGCCTAAGAGCACTTAAAAATCACAATAAAGTCTGGCTCCTTGGAATCAAAATATAAAGAAATGCTCAAGACATACACAAATGGGTGATAATAGACTTCTTCATCTTGGTACTTGCTTTTTATTGTATTTGTCCTTATTAACATAATTATTGCTCCTTTTTGTGTGAAGCTTTTTTTTTTCTCAATTCAATATGCACTTGTTGTGCTATTTCAGTGTGTGCAGACTGCACTGCTGTATCATTTTCCACATTTTTTTAAATTTTCTGTTATTCCCCTATTTTGTTTTGTCTACCTCGCATGAATAAAGAAAATATCTCACCACGCAAATATACACACTAATTACGCAACAGTGAACTACTTCGGACAGATTTGCCACGAAGTGAAATGTTCTCTGAAAGTTTTTTTTTCTTTTTGCTTTTGTTGCATTCTGTATAGTTTCACCGGGGACGTATTTCGATGTAACACACAACATTGGCGCTTCCTGTTCAAACCTCAAACACTCGTAGATTTCTTGAAACTTCGACGTTTAGTTTACGTTTTGTAATTTCACACATGTCCAGTTTTCTCAGGAGGCCTGTTTTAGAAAGATAACGTGCTGACACGTGATCGAAGCGCTCTTCAGCAGCAACGAAAGAGACCGAGCATGACAGCCGCTCATTGACTTCACGGTGAAATTACAGAAAAGGTAATTAAACGCTTTATGGAGTTGGCGTAGAGAAATAGAGCTGAATAGAATAGAATAGAACGCGTTACTCGTTATGTGTTTCATATGTGTAAATGTGAACCTTATTAGCTAGCATATTTCTGTGTGTTTTAGTCACACAACGCTGGTTTCCTCCGTCAGGTTTGATAGATGAAAACAGGTGACAGGAGAGTATCCCTGGACAAAATTCAGACTTTTTACATAATCTGTACAAAGCCAGTCAAAGTGACAGATTATCGCTTACGAAAGGATTTACAATGTTTGTTTGTTTTTAAGTTAGTATATGAACTTTGGAAAGGAAAACAGTTTCTTCTTCTTCTTCTTCTTCTTCTTCTTCTTCTTCTTATTATTATTATTATTATTATCATCATGTCTAACTATAACTGTACAAAAAGAACATTAGGTTGTTTACAGTGTTCATCCAAGTGACTTCAGCAATGACATCAGTCTATATCTCAAATATACCAGAATAACCAAAAACTCTTCATGGCAGTTATATTGAAATTGTCTGTGGGCAACATGAAACCAGATTTACACTTATTATTTTGATTTGGGAGGAGGTGCTGGCCGTCGGATTGGGGTCTGGAATGCGGGGCCTCCCTGCTACTGCAGATAAGGAGGCGGTCTGCTTTCCTCCACCCCTGAGAGAAGGGTTACATCTCCTGGGTCTGTGTATGGTTTGCCCCTCTGGGGCAGGGGTACCCAGACCTGGGATATAGAGTATGTTTGGAGAGTGTGAATGTGTGTACAGTGTCTATTTGTGTCTGTCTCCACGTCAGGTGAGTGCTGAGTATTTGTTTGTGTATATGGGGGTGGGAATGCATGGTTGTGTCTGCATGCGCCTGTTCGTCTGTGTCTATATGTCAGCTTGGGTCTTAGACTCCACCTCTCTGGGAACATCTCAGGCTCTCCGAGGTATGGAGACTTATCTCCCCTCACCACACTCCCTGCCAGTGGCTGATGCCCTCAGACGTTGGTGTATTGGTGGTTCTTGGTGTCTGGGGCTGGGCGCTCATGTATGTACCGGCTCACTCCTGGTGGCCGATTGGCGGGGCCTGGTGCCTGTGGCTCAGCTGTGCCCCTTCCGGGGGTGGGGCCCTGAGGCCCGGTGGCCAGAGGACTTTTAACTGTATTTTCATAGGTTTTACAGCTTTTCCTTTGGATAATTCATACTACTCTGAAGAAAGTAGTAGGTAGACAATTAAGTGACTTTACTTGTATGAAGACATCCGAGGGGTTCTATGTGTAGTTATAAAAAGAGACAGACAAACACTGTTTTTTTGTGTGTTTTGTAACTGGAGTGTAATAAGCAATCCACATAAAATAAGAAATTAAAGTGATCTTTTTGTTCTTTTCATAAGCGTAATCTTTTTCATTTTATTCAGAATATCAGCTATAAGAAGAGATCAACATGTCCTCTGAGGAGGAGATGTCTCAGACTTCTTCTGCCTCTTCCTCCTCCTCAAACTTGTCTACCTCCCACTTCATTGGAAGGAAGGAGGACATTGTCAAAGCTGGCCGTGTGACAAAGCTGGTGAACGGATGCAGAGATGTGCTGGTCGTGCATCACCAGGGGCAGCTTTATGCAATGGACGTGCACTGCTACCGTAAGTACTGCTTCTGCTGAGATAATCCATAGTACATTGCAGAGTATATGTTCTTCTACGGCTCGTCGTTGATGTCCATAATGCCACGTTTTTTTTCACGGACAGATTCAGGTGGTGCTTTACAGTATGGAGACATTGAGGTGAGTTTTCTGCTGTTTATTCTGATTACTGGTGTATATTAAGAAAATCAGTCACCTTTTGACTCGTTTACTGTAAACAGCTGTGCATAAGTCTGACACTCAACCTTTTCTGTAATATCTAAAAAATCTTTTGATCTGTGTTACCTTTAGGAGTTCAATGGACGGCTGTGCATCGTGTGTCCTTGGCACAAGTACAAGATCACCCTCGCAGAGGGGGAATCGCTTTACCAAGCTGTGGACGACCCTACAGCCAAACCGCTGAGGACTTACTGGCGCTCCAAGGGTGTCAAACAGCGGGTTCATAAGGTCACTGAGGTCAACGGGGATGTGTACGTGACGCTCAATGACTCCGGCGAAGCCATCGAGTCAGACGTCTACCAGACTGAGAAATACAGGCGCGCTTCACTCAAAGCCAAGCCGAAAGCCAAACCCAAGACATAACCTTTAATGCTTCATGGACAATTTAAGGAGCTTTGCTCGTCTTCCATCTGACTCTCTGATCTTGTAATAATATAGAAAACATGGTGTTCTGCAGACGTGCATACAATCAGTAAATGTCTGGCATGGTGACTCCTCAGGAACATCTCTATTTTGAAGCTGATACAAACAGCTGACCAATACACAGTTTGTTTTTAGTTATATTTTCTAAATTACTGTTATTTTTAAACAAAAATAATCATTGTGTTTCATTATAACTTTATATGTGAATTTTTATAATTGTTGTTATTATTATCATTGTGTTTTTATTGTATTTATTTTTTTTCTTGTTATTAAACTACCTTAATGGGGATCAATTTTTCCAGAAAAAATGGGACAGTGTGCAAAAAAAGCAGAATGTAATGATTTTGAAAATCATTGAAACATTAACTATTTAACTCAAAGTATGATGAAAAATAAAACATGCATCGTCTAATCTTATCTGTTATGCAATAAATAACACAATTTTAAAATGATTCAAGACTGTAACTGCTTATATTGTGAAATCTACAGCAGCAGCTTCTCAGGTAATCAGTTAGTTCAATTAAACTGATAACCCCCTGTCGTGATACTGCTGAATTATATATATATAATATATAATTTTCTGTAAAAGATTTAAAAACTTAATGTGTTGTTTTTTTCTAGCACATGAACAGGATGATGATCTGAAGCTTGCAAAGAAATATTAGAATTAATTTATAGATGGAATTTCCATCCATAAATGTATTTTACAGACCGCCCTGCCTCCCGCCCTATGGCAGCTGGGAAGGGTTCAAGGGGGCCTCTAAATTGGATGAGCAGAAGATAAGGGATAGATGGAGAGATTTAAGAACGAAAAAAGGGTTGGTTTATATGACCATGAATGTAGAGAATGTATAGACCTAAGAATTTACGCTACAGAAAATGGGCGCTAGGTGGCAGCAGTGTGCCGGGCGTCTGTAGTCTGCTATGAAAAACCACAGAAGAAGAAAGAAATCGTTTCCTGGAGACGCCAGCGGTGTAAGTGATGAGAAATAATGTGCGTATCCCTGCATATAATTGTTTTTCCTAAACTATCTGGACTTTAATACGCTCCTAGCTGTCTGCAGATTGTTTGAAGTTTACGATAAAGTATGAGCACTAAGAGAAGATAGAGCAGCAGAATAGAAGCCATCTCTTTTTCAAGACAATAATCCGCCGTGATGGCATCAGGTATGTAGCCTGGCTCATAATGAGTCTTTGCAGTATTTGTTTTGTACACTCAGGTGCTTTTTGATGAATCTCTTTCAAAAATGTTGCCTAGAGGACGAAATCAACCTCCTGGTGATCGTCGTGGATGTAAACCCCATATGGTGGGGGCAGCAGGCTCAGCGGGATCCACAGGTATTAGATGTGATGTCTGTGGTTACTCTGACTCATTAAAGTTTTTCTGAATGTCTCTGATGCCAAACAACGCTCCATGTACCCCTGTGTCCGCCCAGTTCACCCTGTCCAAGTGTATGGATGCAGTCATGGTGATGGGCAACGCTCACATGGCCATGGCTAGGACAAACAAGCTGGCTGTCATTGCTAGCCACTGCCAGGGCAGGTAATTTCATACCATAGTTTCACTGGGTTTTACTGCACAGAGGAATTTCTGAGGTCCACACACAGGCTTGTAAACCATATTAAGAGGAGAATCACCATCATGTGGAAAAGTATATTATCTGTCAGTTCTTGGACTTAAATATTAGGACATAAAAAACAGCAGTCGTCTTAAAATCAAGGAAATACAATATCAGATGAAAAAAAACTGTTCATCTGTTTGCAGTGCAAACAGATTATCAGTTTAGCTGGTGGGTGTGGAATCCAATATGCTGGTCTGAGTATTTCTTCCACTAGTTTCAGTTTCCAGGAATAAAGTATTGTCTGTTTAATGTTTTGCTGCTGTCGCTGCTCATACGCGCTTTTCTCCCACTCACTTTTTCAGTCACTTCCTGTATCCCAGTAAGAGCTGGAGTGGAGAAGACGGTGGTGGCAATGATGTATCCTCAAGCGGAGATGGAAAATATGAACTCCTGTCTGCTGCCAATAACCTTATTGTCGAAGAGATCAGGAACATAATGTCAAAAAGTAAGCGTGTATTTACGAGGATAAACTCTTAGGTATTTAAAGATGTTGTACAATGCTCCCTAAAATTCAGTGTATCTCACATGATTTCAGTTGAAGTGACGGGAAATTCAACAGATACTTTGTTGGCCGGATCCCTCGCCAAAGCTCTCTGCTGTATCCTTTTCGTGCAGACTGTTTTATCATTTATGACATACTGTGCAATAATAAACAGTGCATTCAGTGCACGACTCCACAGAATCAGCCAGGAAGTGTAAGACAGGTGCTGGAAACTGTAAGCAGATATTTATATTTATAGCTTTTTTACAAAATTACTGTAATTAATGTCAAATGGGCCTACATATATGTAGGTAGTGCAGGAAAAATATTGTTAATCTTGACTTTAGAGGACATTTAGTGTCTATTTTGAAGAGAAATAGAATGCTATCACTTATTTAATCTTTCTTTTTTGCAATTTTAATTTATATGCCATCGTCGCCCAGAGAATTTGTTTGTGTTGCAGAACGTATGTGATGTTTTGCTCTAAAGTTAAATATCTATAGATTATTTATTTTCCACCAATATTATTTACTTTTTCACCTTAATCCTTTAATATATAGATATTCACCGGCTCACGAAAGAGCTGGAAGGTGATTTAATCTTTATACATGCTTAATGCCAGTTATTGAATGAAGTTTTCCATTTACCCTGCTTTAATGTGTATATATATATTTTCTCTCTCTTTTTTTAGTTGGACAAGAGATTAAATCAAGAATACTGGTAATGCCCAAATGTTCAAATATTATGAATGCTTTTGTTTAGTTTTTTTCCCCACCTGACTTTGACCCCTCTTTGACGCTTTGCACTGTATAGGTGGTAAAAGCGGCTGAGGACTGCGCTCTCCAGTACATGAACTTCATGAATGTGATTTTTGCTGCTCAGAAGCAGGTAGAATATTAATAGATCATTGTCCTGTATTAACACTTAATTACCCTTTACTTACTACAGCAACTGCTGTAGATGAAAAGTTGGACCTAAAGATGCTTATAATGAAATGCTGTGTTGAAATAAAATAGTTTAAAACTCCCAGAAATAAGTAAAGCTGTTGACACTATATATGAAAACATCTGCTATCACTTAACATCCAAGTCATTTTCATGCTGTTTTTAAGAAATATCAACCACTAATCCTTCTTTATTACACATAGAAGCCAAAATTTACAAAATAGAGTTAAATGTTTTATTCATTATGACCCAAACTAACCAGCTGAGTCCATAAATTCAACAAGACCGTCTTTACAGAGGTAAAGCTTGAGGAGCCGTTTTCTCATTGACTTCTATAAGAATGGAAGTGTTTTTGCAGCCAGAGCAGTCGCCACCTGGTGGCCATTAGAAAGAATCCAGGTTTAAGGCACTTGACTTTTCAAACCTGGGAGCCTTCTTCACCTATTATACTATTTATGATATCAACTGAAGTTAAACTAAGCCCAGGTTGTACTTGTCCTGTAATACCAGTTTGTAATATAAAATGGTTCAGTGAGTCAGCGTAATCTTTATTTAGGTAGAAATAGAAAGGTAAAAATGAAACGCTAAATTTAAAAACGTTTTTGTGTTTTAAACAGAACATCCTGATAGATGCCTGTGTGTTGGATTCAGACTCTGGTCTCCTTCAGCAGGTAAATTCTTATAGCTCTGTAAGGACAATCACCACTTTGCAGTTTTCCAAGTATTTAAGAAAAGTACTTTGTCTTAACACAAATATTTTTCAGTGTATTAACATCTTTAGTGCGAGGTAGTGTGGTGATTATCATGTGATGTGATGTGTGCCCTCTACCATGCTATCGTAACCGTTATATACTCATTTCAGGCTTGTGATATAACTGGAGGATTGTACATGAAGATACCACAGAAAGTCGCCCTTGCACAGTATCTGTTGGTGAGAGTGCAGTACAGTTTCACACGCATTAAGAAGAATGGGGTTGGTTTCATTTGCATCTAACGACAGCTGTTTTTGTTGTCTTCTGAGCAGTGGGTGTTCCTGCCTGACTCTGAGCAGCGGTCACAGCTGGTGCTGCCGCCGCCTGCACACGTGGACTATCGAGCTGCGTGTTTCTGCCACCGTAACCTCATTGAAATCGGTTATGTGTGCTCAGTTTGTCTGTCCAGTGAGTTTGAATTGCTTAAGTCTTTATTACTGGAAAGAGCTGCAGTATGTTTTTTTTAATCAGTCTGTTTCTTTTGTTTTTAGTATTCTGCAACTTCAGCCCCATTTGTACGACATGCGAGTAAGTGTCAGTGTTTGTGGAGTAGTGCTAATACATCTACATGTGTACATTCTGTACACTTATTTCCATATTAGGGCTGCCACAAGCGATTATTTTGATAGTTGACTAGTCACCGATTATTTTTGCGATTAGTCGACTAATCAGATCACGCGTCCATTGGACGTACAAAGTACAGCTTATTGCACCAGCAGCATCTGCTCTTATTTAACTATCATTAGCTATCATTGGAGTTTAATAAACGCAGCCGTCTGCTCCTTGCTATCTAAAATATAACAGGACACCTTAGTATATTCTCCAGCATCTCGCTCTTCTGATAATCAGCTGTCTGCTTGACGTTTATTCAGCTGTGTAAAAACTATAACTTTAATCTCAGCCAAACCGATTTACTCAGAAACAAATAAAATACTGAAAAAGGCCAAATAATAACATTTGTAAGTGATCTAATTGACTTGTATATCATGTTTAGCCTTAGTAGCGAAAGACAGCAGGGGGTTTGAAAACGATTGCTCTAGTGAGCCTTGAACCCCGGCTCGCTATCGAGCTGGTGGGTAACAGACGTCTCCGAAAACGTCGGAGCGCTTTTGAAAATATGTGGTGTCTTCATAAACTGAGCAGATATTTGAGGTTTACACAGCTACATCCTCGCCTGAAAAATGTTAAACGTTTATTTTGTGCCCCAGAAAGAATAATAAGAGTAATATTAAAACTAACAAGCTGCCGCCATTGTTGGAAACTGAGCAGGGCCGCGCTATGAATTCTGGGACACAGCTTCTTCTTCTTCGAGGTTTAACGGCAGCTGGCATCCTTCTTCATGCAGCGCTGCCATCTTCTGTCTCAGTCCGTTATTACACTCTTGAACCCTTCTACTTATTCCTGCGTCTTTTGGGATCTTACAAAGCTTCAAACGACGCGTCGACTATTAAATTGGTCGTCGACGATTTTGATAGTCGACTAATCGTGGCAACCCTATTCCATATGTCTTTGAACATTGGCTTTTTCAAAAATATTTTTTGCCTCTGTACAACAGCACAGTGGATTTGTATCAGGTCTGAAGTGCAGACTGTTTTAATTCAAGGGGTCCAAAAAATATTACATTAACTGTTCAGCAAATACAGCCCTGTTTATATACAGTCCACCATTATGACAAGGTGATGCCTGTTTCCCTGTTATTTCTTGACAAATTAAGGAGAACTTTCTTTGGATAGATGAAACCACGGTTAACTTGTCCAAGAATTATGGGAAGTGAAAAGTATGGAGGAGGAGTGAAACAGATCATGATCTGGAGCATACCATTTATCTGTTAAAAATATTGGAGGCAGTGTTATGGCATGGACATGTATGGCTCCCAGTGGAGGCAAGCCAATAGTGTTGATGCTGTGAATGCTGATAACCGTAGCAGGATGAACTGTGAAGCGTGCAGGTCTATACTCTCTGCTCAGCCAAATGCTGAGTTTCACAACGCAAATGGATAATGACCCAAAGCATACTGCAAAAGCAACCAAATAGGATATTCTTAAATGGCTGAATCACCTCAACTCGATACAATATGCTTTTAGCTACTAAAACCAGAGACCCACAAACAAGCCTGGGTGAAGGCCTAGCAGAGCATCTAACAAGAGCAAAAGGAGCATTTGATCCACTGACTGCAAAGGACCTTTATCCAACTATTGAAACTAACCCTATGTGATGTTGTTAGTTTGATCAGTTCATTTTAGGCACCTGAAAGTGAAGGGCTGTGTATAAAGAAGTCTATAATAATTAAACAGTGCAAAATTTTATTTAAACACCTTAAAGCTTAAAGTCTGAACTTCAACTTCCATTTAAATCATGTATTGTTTTTTTCTTTTTAGGACTGCCTTCAAAATCCAGCTACCACAGATAGTCAAGCCCAAAAAGAAGAAACTGAAACAACCAATGTGATGGGGGATTTTTTTGTGTTTGTTTTCTCATACTAATACAGTGAATTTAAATATACTTGTGAGGCAGTATAGCCTTATGGACATGTGGAGTAACACCGATTGTCTTCATGTTCACCGAGGCTGGTACTCATGTTTGTAAAAACATAATTCAGACATGACTGAAAATAAGTCTCGTTTTCTTCGTCTTGGGTAAAAATCACTCACCCAAAATTAAAACAGACACCGTTTTGTTATGATTTCATTATTTTTACATTAAAAAGACACCGTAATAAACGTATGTTTTTGTTTCATTTTTACAATAATCGTAATAGTGCTGTCTCCATCGTGATCTCAGAAAGGTTTGGGTGTTTTTTCTCCACAGAGTTCAAAATAAGCCTTTATTAACAGAGGACTGCAAATCACGCATGTGCTCACAGTCAGCTCATCATCACTTCAGATAAATAAGTGTCCAGCTGTGCTCCCAACAGGAAATCAAACACTGAACACCATAAAGCTGCTTTTTAAACACACAGAAATCTAATCAAGGTTCAGCTCCACACTCAGTAAACTCAGCATGACTTCTTGAACAGAGGTGCTTTATTTTCATACATCCTGTTCTGAAAACTGGAATAAGGGATATTGTTCCAAGTTCCCATAAAGTAGTGAAAAAGCCAGAGAGAGTTTTCAAACTTTAAGTGTTAGGGTGATCATCGCTGAACTGGAACGATGTTACATCTGAAAAATACAAAAATCAAGAATAACTTTTTACTTCTTATGGACATGATATGATGAATTTTAAGTATGTGTACTAAAAAGTGTTTTACTAGTGTCACTACATGGCAAATTGTAGAAATAATATGCCAAGAAACAATTTTTCAGCATTTTCTTGGCATTGAGGGCATCACTTGTTTTTGTTTCCAAATATCTATTAATCTCCAAACTCGTACAACTCAGGAGCTGCATCCTCTGAAGGTGTGCACTACATAGGACACAAAGCCCACACTGAGCTGCAACTGTGACAGCAGCAGAGGTAGAGTAGTATATTTTTGAGGGATATGAGGGTGAGAGAATAAACCACAGTATTTCAGATGATGCAAGAAAATTAATTATTCATTCATTCATTCATTCATTTTTAAATTTGAAAACTTCTCACAGCCCCGAGCAGGTGTTGGATTTTATATCCAGTAAAAATTTAGAATGGCGTTTTCCCAGATGATGTGATAGGACACAAACTTCGTTGGCAGCATAGAAATGGGAGAGACTTTGCTACAGTGCTGCAACACGGTCAGCCTTTAAAGGATGCATCCCCTGAGCTGGGGGAGAGCTTGAGTCTATATCAAACATGTCATTTTACCACAGTCGTGCACTCACCCCAGCAAACCTCTGCCTGACCACCGCTGTGGAGTCAGGCTCATCTGAACTTTCTGGCCAGCCCGGATCACCGACACGTGCAATGGTTTCTGCAGAGGAATGTCAAATTACAGTTTGCAGACTCAAATAACAACAAGGGAGATGCTTTTAAGAAACAAAAACAAAAAATCAAAACATTGCATTCTCTCATTATGACAAAGTTAAATACAAATGAAATTATATGCAAAGTATGACTTCTTATGCATCACAAGCTTCATGCATCAACAAAAATAAACTGTAATGGAATATTAAGAAATGAAGTTTGATTAATTGCCCATTGAGTTTTCTGTGGTTCTTACCCCTTCACTGTGTTGCACCACAGAAGCAATATTCTGGAGGTTCTGAAAGTTCCCTGAGTTCACAGAACCAAACTCGATCAGCTGATCACCGACTCGGAGCCCCTTTTAAAAGAAACAATCACTAAAATTATAGGAGAACCCCCCCAACAATGTTTTGCAGTACAAACTGAAAACAGCTGCTAGCTACAAAAGTTCACATCACTCACAGCTCCACAGGCAGGTGATCCCTCTGTCACAGCATCAAGCTGTGCAAAAGGTGGAGGCAGCGTAACCTGATGTTCCATCGCCTCCTCCTGGGCTTCTGCCTCATCCTGTTCCCGCTTGGCTTTCTCTCGAGCATGCAACTTGTGTAGGGCTTCTTCTATCTCCGCCATGATGGTCTTGTGATCGTTCTGTAAACCTGAGTATAGAATAAATATCTTAATAGGGTTAAAACCAATCTGAAATCAAAGAAATATAATAAATAATAAGTATACATTAAAACATTAAATAACATATTAAGTAAACAAAAATATATAATATACACCCAATAGCCACTTTGTTGAAGACATCTGTTCAACTGCTTGTCAATGCAAATACCTAATCAGCCAATAACATGGCAGCAGCTACACTAAATGTAGCAGGGAGGCTGGTCTGAGTCTTTTAGAATCTGCTGAGATTTTCTCAACCAACCATCTCTAGGGTTTACAGAGACTGGTCAGAAAAACAGAAAATGTCCAGTAAGTGGCAGTTCTCCGGCAGTTCTTGGCAGTTCTTATTGTATATTTATTTTATTTTATTCTACTGTATATAGTATTTTATTTTATTCTATTCTGTACAGTTGTGTACTGTATTTATTCTTATTGTATTCTAATTTTTGCCTCATAACTTTTGCACTGTCCACTTCCTGCTGTGACAAAACAAATTTCCCACGTGTGGGACTAATAAAGGTTATCTTATCTTATCTTATCTTAAAATACTTTGCTGATGTCAGAGGTCAGATGAGAGAGAATGGCTTCGAGCTAATAGGAAGGCAACAGTAACTCAAATAACCACTCGTTTAAGCTATGCTGGAGTATCTCTGAACTCACAACATCTGGAACATTGAAACATATGAGCTACAGCAACAGAAGACCACACAAGGCGCTACACCTGTCAACTAAGAACAAGAAACTACAGCTACAATCGGGAGGGGCTCATCAAAATCAAACAACAGAAGATTGGAAAAATGTTTCCTGGTCTGATGAGTTTTTCATTTCTGCTGCAACAAAAGCACGAATCCACTGCATCAGCAGTTCAAGTAGATTATGGTGGTGTAATGGTGTTGGGGATATTTTCTTGGTCCACTCTGGGTCCTTAGTACTGAGTGAGCATCATTTAAACTTCCCACCCTACCAGAGTATTGTTGCTGAACATGTTCATCCCATTTTTAGCACCTTGTTGAATCTATGCATTGAAGCATTAATGCAGCTCTGAAGGCAAAGGTGGGTGCAGTCTGGTGTACACTCTGGCAAGTGTATTACATCTTAGAAAAATAAATGGCATTTAAAATGCTTACTACATGTATTTAAAACCAAATAGAATTATCTGTTGGTGTCATCTTTAAAATATTTTAGTGACCATTAACATGTACTTTTGTTTCATCATGCCTTGGGAACGTAGATAAGTTATCTGAAATACTACTTTAACTTTTAAAAACGCACCGCACACGTGGTGTGTGCGTAAATTATGAGATATCAGTTTGTGCTTTGATAGCATACATCAGTTTTTCTGCCACACAACATAAAGAGACATTATCTGCCACCAGAGATGGGCAGTAGCGCGTTACTTGTAACACGTTACTGTAATCCGATTACTTTTTTCAAGTAACGAGTAAAGAATGGTAATTAGATTACCGTTACTTTCCTGTAGGAACGCTGCGTTACTGCGTTACTAAAACCGTGGGTTTTTTGCAAGAATGTCTCATGACAGTGACGTAAGCAAGTGCGACGTTTGTGACAACAGCTGTCTGCAGATCAACAGTGGATAATATATCGAGTACTGACCTTACTTTGAGTTTGATTCCATAAAAAGTGACAAAAACATTAGCGTCTGTTGTGCGTGGGAAGAAAACTTATTTTTACAGCGAAAAAAAACCCTAAACCTCCAAGCAAGCACCGAGTGCGCAACGACGTAATGGGAAACTCACAGAGAAACTCGCGGATTCTTCCACTGACCGCCGCAGCACACCTGCACCAGGGTAAACCTCCGCCTACCCGACTCCTGCTTTACAGGTGAAAATAGAGCAAAAGGAGCGCTAGTCTTTGATTTTATTTATTTTCTGCTGTGTTTTACTTGCATCTATTTGAAAGAGTGAGTGTAAACACACACACACACAAAAAAAAAATTATGTGCTGGAATGTGCAGAAAATAGGTTTAAATATTAAACAAATTTCTTCCAGTCAGAGAATGTTGCATATAATTTAATTTTTGCTTGATGCATAAAGTTAAAAGATCAAAACTAATAAAACAAGTTTTAAAAAGGGACTTTTCCATTTGATTACATTTTGTATGATGGATTATGCAGAAAAAGTAGAATTGGGCTGAAAGATCTATCGCTTTATCACCTATTCAGGTTGTAAATCGTGTTTTTAAAAAGTAACTAAGTAATTAATTACTTTTGAAAATAAGTAATCAGTAAAGTAACGGGATTACTTTTTGGGGAAGTAATCAGTAATTAGTTACTGATTACTTTTTTCAAGTAACTTGACCAACACTGTCTGCCACACAGTCAAACACGACATGCTGTCTCCAGCTGTCAGGGAAACCACTGAAAGCAAACAAACTGCTGCTCACATGAAATGTTGTGCCTAGCCGTCCTAATCTGGTACAGATTAACATCTGCTCGTGGGTAACCCTCCGCATCCACCAAAGAGTCTTCAACTCCGACCCCCTGCTGTAAATAAAAGTAAACAAAGGCGATTAAAAAAACCTTACTGTGACTTAGCTTTGTGCTACGTTTTGCTAATAATATGGTCGCCGACTTACGTCTTGTAGGACATCGTAATACGCCTTTATCTGCTCTTCAATTTCATCTTTCTTCTTGATGAGGTTTTTAACATCATCCATTGTTATTTCGGAGTTTCCAGGAATGTTTTCATCTGTCATCTTCATGGCTGCTCCAACTAGTGCTTCCGGTGTAACGCCTGTTTCTTCTTCGCTTGTCTTTATTTGGCAGTAAAGCGCTCCGCTGCCCCTCAATGATTTGCTCGTTGTACGAAAACATTTTAGACGATCTTTAAACTGGTATTACTGCCAACAGCACAAATAATAATGAAATTACTGTTGGTCATTGTTATGGTGTCCAAAACAACTACAGCCGAAAAGCGCAGAATTAGAATGAAATAACTAATAATTTAAATGACACATATAGAATTTCTAAAAATACCTAAACTGGAACATTTAAACTTTGGCTCATATTTTTTATACTCCAGTGGAAAACACGTTCACCACTGGGTTCCATCAGTACAAAGACCAAATAAAAAACTTCCGACATCTCATACACAACAGTGATCAATGATTCTTCCTTTTGTGCATCTCTCAGCTCAGATGTTTTTGTCCTCTACCTGCTTCCATCTGAGAAGCAGAGCTGTAAGCTCTCGGGGCCCTCTTCTGTTGAACAAGCTCGTTTGGTTTGGGAGAGAAACACCCTCTCTATTTTTAAGATTAGGTTCAAAACTCTCCTTTTTGATATAGCTCATTGTTTATATGCGACTTTACTCTTAGTTATTATGCCGAGACTCTCTTCCACTCGACTGAAGATCTAGATTAGGCAACAATATTCACAAAAAAAAAAATAAAAAAATTAGGTCAACTTTTGCCTGTGTATCCTGAATGACTAGGACCCCGCCCCCCTCCTGATGATGCAGTAATGCTGGTTGTAAATAACAATTTTGAAGTTGCAAGAGATTATCACTATTTTTGCCCTCACCAAAACTAAACAAAATATTAGTGCGAGGCTTTTTTGAGTACTTTATTTTTCCTGTATACCAATTTATTTATTTTCCAAAAGAGCTACCAACAGTTTTTTCTAATCATATAAGATGCAGACAGTTATTGCTACTAGAATCTCAGCATGAATTTGAAACCTTTCAGTTTTCCATTTATATGATAAAGTTTTGTTTTTTTTAATAAAAAAAAAGTTAAAGCTTTTAATGGAAATTAGTAAAGGAGGACCAGGTTTGGACTATCAGTCATTGGACTGAGTCATTTCAACATCTGACACCTGTCTGACTTTCCAAAAAGCCAAGTTTCTAAAACTTCTCTGTTGGCAATATGGCAAATAATCATCGGCTTTAGTGAAGGAAAACACCCAAACACATTACATTCAATCATGTGTCACCTTTAATATATTAGATACATACAATCACAGATCTTTAGATGAAGCCCTTGGATTTTTTTCAGAAATCTTTCTAGAGCTGTAAACAACGTGCAGCTTGTGCATGCTAAAGATTTTTTGCACCCACGTGGTGAGAACAAATACACAGCTTTCACAAATACACCCCTGACTTTTAGTCAAGAACAGTCACACCAACTTGTCCTGTAGCCTACTTTGGAATTTCAGAGCAGCATACATAAAGGCACAATGGTATAAAACTATTCAAAATTATCATAGTGAATAAGTATTGTAAAGTGTTTGTTCTACATCTGTAAGTGCTGTGTACCCTGAGTGCTTAGATAGTACATATGAGATCTCTTATTGGAAAATGGAATGTGATTTATTGGCTCAATGCTTAAATTGGACAGATGGGCAAATAATTTGGACTAGTCATTAAAACCTCTGTGAACGTTGTGTTACTGCATGCATAAAGTTTCCTTCATCTTCAGCTGGCTTACAAATGCCCTACTCCTGCATTGGGAGCATGTGCAAATGTAGCACTGGAAAGTACGCTTCATTTGTCCTGCAGCCTACAAATGTTAGTGCTGACGATTAAATAAAGTCAAGTGCCAGATTAGCTCTATTAATAGAAATGCCTAACAGCCTGTTTCCCTCAAACCTCCGTCTTGATCCTCAAGCACCAGCACTGACTCCTCCTTATTATCCTGAGTGGACAACAAAACCTCCTTCTGAGCAGTTATCTCCTTCTGAGCCAGGACAAATTGGCTTCTGGTCTCGTCCAGCTGTGAATGAACTTCTTGCACCCACTTTTGTAGCTGCGCATTGAGAGCATCCATACCTTGGTCCAGCTTCTCCTGCCTGCCTTTGAGGTCTTCTAGCAGGTTCTGTGTGTCACTGATCACCTGCTGCCTCCTGTTTAATGCACAGGGAGTACGCTGACCCAGCATGTAGCCTTCAAACTCTTCTGGACTGAGGCTGAGTGCCGGCCCATCCAGCTTTTCAATGAAGGCCACAGCACAGGACTAAATAAAGAGATGCGGACACCCGTATGAGTTATTAACAGGTCTAACAACACCCTGTGGTGTATGATGGGTGAGGAACTTTTCAGTCAACTCACCAAATTTGTGAAATAGTAGCCGCTCTCTCCTGCCATCAGACTGTGAGGGAGCCCAAAACGAATCACGTATTGCATGTTGGAGTGGAGGCGAGGCGGATTGGCCTTCAGCACCACGTAAACCAGGCTTGACAAGAAGTCATCAGCATTAGCAGGCTCACTGTTTGAGCGGGAAAGGGCTTCGAAGACATGCTGGCTGCATTTGGAAACGCACGCGAGTTTGTCTTGAGGTGCTCGTTTGGCATCCATTTCGATTATGGCTGTGGGAAAAATAAAGGCTGGAACTCATTTCAAATGTTATGACATTGACAAAATATGCCTCCCTTTATCATTAAAGTAACAGTTTTTCATTTTGGGAAATGCACTTTTTCTTTTCTTATGTCAGGGAGTTAAATACGAGGCTGCAGTTGGCAAGCCTGGACCCGTACACAGGTAATATGTTACCAGCATTAAAGCTGCTCATGACATGAATCTTTTGATGCAATTTTTAGATAAGAAAGCAAACAAATGCATTTCCCACCATATCAAACTGCTCATTTAAGTATTGAGATTTTAAATCACCAGTTATAGCAGGCAGAAAGGGGTCGCCTGTGACAGAGACCTTTTCATCAGGAAAAGGTACGCCTAGCATCTGCGGCGTAACCCAGTTCAAAGAACTGCAAATAAGAGACATTAGTTATAAAAAACAAAAACACAAAACTTCTAATCCTGACTTTTAACTCAGGATTAGAAGTTTGGGTTTTTTTTTCCAAGATGGGTAAAACCAAAACAAAACACAGCTGATGTACCGGATCCTTCTCTGGAGAGCCAGGTCCTTCTGTTCATCATCACAGCTGTCATGGCAGAAAACCCATTTGTGCAGCCGTGTCATTATTAACTTCTCTACATGCTCCATTATCTGAGTGACCTGAGCTTCAGGAAAACCTGAAAACATAAACAGCGATTTAAAAGCCACTTTAAATACAAATATTGCATCATACACAGTTTGGAACAGATCTGTACTCACTGCTAAAATATTCAGCAAAAGACTGATAAAAATCCTGCACGAGGTCTGACTGCTTCTGCACCGGCAGATCCTGCAAAGATGACGTGAATCGATGATCAGGATGCCTCTAGCTCGTGACATAATTGTCGTGTTAGAGGCTTAAACTGCTTACATGGTATGCCTCCATTGTGTTGAGAAAAGCTGTACAGCGGGACTGCAAGCGCTGGGAAGGAGGACTCCGAAGTATCTTTAGGAAACCAGTGAAGTCTCCAGGCTCAAGGTTTTCGTAGGCTTTTAACACATTTGCACGGCTTTCAGAAGACTCTGGAGGGACAAATAGTCAAAAGGTGAAGAGGCAGCAAAATCCAAACAGATAGCCAGATAATCTAATCCAGGGGTGAGGGAACTCTAGTTTCTTACAGACAGCAAAAATACTGAGTGAAGGTTAAAACTTTTACCTTCATGGACTTAATGACAATGTTTAGAGGAAGAATTCTGGCTTTCTATTCAGAGGTGCTGGGTAGTATTAAGTTATTCTTCTTTTTGAGTATTTCAGAGAGACAGGATTGCAAAAAAAAATAAAAATGGCCACCTTGGTTGGTGTGACAGAGGAGGATGCTTGGACAAGGTGAAATGGAGGCAGCTGATCTGCTGTGGCAACCTCAAATGGGGCTAGCTGCTGTAACTGGCTGTTGACCTAATAATGACTTTAAGACCACCACAAAACTAAAGTTTTACCTTGAGGTTTTGGAGGCGATGGGCTGCCCCAGAACAGTCTTCTCACTGTGTTAATTCGACGACCTTTCTCAATGTTTTTCTTCTCCTCAAATTTGGAGAATGTGGGGAGCGTTCCATCACTGCGCGGTCTATGAGGAATGAAAGGATTAGACATCTCTGTCCCGAGCTGAGAGACAGAAAACAAATGGAAGGTCTCTCTATCTGCATTTAGACTGATGCGTTATACCCTCACATATCCAGATGTCATATTAAAGGGCAGTATTCTCACATACATTTTCAATATACTTTAACATAATGAGCAAACGTAACAGCGTGAATAAAGTTTACCTAATTTCTTCTCTCGGGGTTCCAGCGGCCCGTGCCCTCTCTCTCCAGCACTTGGAGCACAAACCCTGCCATGCTGGGTTTCCATAGTAACCACATGCGTTCTTACAGAGCAGCTCCTCCTGAGAAACTCTGATTCCTCTCTGTTTATCCATCCACATGTCTTTTATATGCTACCTGCTAGACATACAATTCAGCTTTAGAGCACAAAAAAAGTAAAGTTCCACTATACTTATCATCATAATTATTATACTTAACTACTCAATATTTGTCTTATAAAAAACGTCAGTAATTTTAAAGAAAGCTCAGTTGTGTGTTTGAAACTATAGCCTGGTTATGCGTACCATAGCCCAACACCCTGTGAAAATAAAAAAAAACAAAAAACAAAAACTCAACCAAGTCTCATTTTATGATTCTGGATGACCACATAATGTCAGAATTGCAGTGACGCAAAGAACATTAAACTGAACAACTAAAACTGATAAATATAAGATTGGAAAAATGTCCAAATTCCATTTTGGCACAGGGTCAGAAAACATTAATGCATGGATCCATCTTGCCTTGTATCAATTGTTCAGGCTGGTGGTGCTGTGCAAACTTTGAACCTTAGTGCCGACTAAGCATTGCTTAAACACCACAGCATAACGGAGTATTGTTGCTCAC